GGGGGGGGGGGGGGGGGGGGAAGGGCGACAAAGGGCGGGGGTTGACAAAGGGCAGGGGGATGTTTCTGGTGTCGATGACCAGTTTTTGGATCATCATTGTTTTATCACTTCAGCTTAGGGAGGTTTCCTGTTGCGGTCTGCTACCGTCTACCCCCCCAATTAAACGTACGCGGGTCATTCTGCCCGTATTTGGCACAACTTTCAGTCCAATTGCAGCGAAAATGACAGTATGTTCTATAATTGGGGTGAAGATGCTAGGTTGCTGGTTTACAGAACTTTTCAAGTTGTGCCCCAAAAAGAGCCATAATGGGGGTGTGCTACTCGGGTGCAAATGCACCATGATACCAGAGGTGTTAATTTTTGGCTGGTTTGGTGCGTTGCCAGTACTACTGAGGGTGGTGCTGCAGACATGCGAGTTGGGAGTTAAGGCCTTCTTCTCCAAGTCGACTTCCAGTCGTAATGTACTAATGGCATTGTGCAAGCGATTCTGAAGACTGAGATGGAAGAGAGGGGGGGAGGCTGCAAGGCTTTGTGGGTTTTATCCACCACGTGCCATGATCTGACATGTCATACCGTTGCATTTACTACGAGGACCAGGACATTCTGTTTAGGTTTAGGGTTTTAGGGATTAGGGTTTTAGGGTTTAGGGTTTTTAGGGTTTAGGGTTTTTAGGGTTTAGGGTTTTTAGGGACTAGGGCTCAAGCACCTGATAGGAATCCAGATTGATCATGAAGCAGGAGGACGACGGAGTTCATCGCATCTTCAACGAGTCAAGGCATCCACAGGTCGCCGAACTCGTATGATGCCCACTACAATGAGTGGGCGCTGTGTGGAAGGAGGTCTGGACTCTGGACTCAACAATCTAGCTGTACAAAAACTCCATAGTCATTGTCAAGTACCACGATTACGAGCTCAATATACACTTTTTTTCTTTTTTTCTTTTTTTTTTCCCTGTGAGATTACCCGGATAGTAAATCATATACTCGCATTTACCACCCATGCTATGGATGTAGGAGCATTAACCCCTGTTGGGTTTCAATTCAACTTGGGCTTTTGACGAGGTGTCACTGACTGCGGGGTTCTTCGATTCCTTCGGGACCACCACTGCATACGCCAACACACAAGTGCAGCTGGGAGTTGGGAATGCACCTTCTTGACATTGTGTGAAATGTGCTCTCCCCAAGAGTTCATAGCAGAGGGGCAACACAGCGGCTCGTCACTCCAAATTTCTTCGCACAGCAAAATGGAACAATTATAGCTCATTCATGACATCTTGATATTCGGTTGGATGATGCATCATGCATGTTTCAGGGTACGATCTATCCATGCCTGGCAATCTTTTTTTTTTTTTTTTTTTTTTTCAGAATATCTTCTTATTTGAAGTTGTTTGAACCTTTTTCCTTTTCCTTTTTTTTTTCTTTTTTTTTTTGGTGCAAGTGTTCACTGAGCAGATTGCGTTTCATGGAACAGTGTGGATCGCAATGGCTACTATGGTCTGTTTCAAATTTGACTGTGTGTGAGCTAATGTGATAACCCCAGCAGCAGTCTCCCAATTATTACCGCAGTGCCGAATTGTGTGACACATCTGCAAGAAGCCATCATCCACCGTCATGCTTTTTTTTCTTTTTTTTTTTTTTCTTTTTTTTTGGCTGAAATCAGAACCTCTCGGTTCTGGCTCCTACCATTCTGGGGAGCGACAGTCCGGTTCCTATTCCCCCGGCAAGTCAAAAGATAGTACACAGACAACTCACCCACGCTCCTCCCCATTAAGGTTGAGAGGCCCGAGCGGGCGGCATTGATCATCCACCGTCACGCTGATGGTGTATAGCTAGAAAAGAGGGAGGCGGAGGAGTGAATTTAGTCTATATTATGCACAAGACGTAGGGTCTGATCCCACAATACTTGATGTACTAGGTAAAAAGGAGTCACTGTGGGACCCTGCAGTCCCACAATACTTACCGTATTAGGTAAAAAGGAGGTACTGTGTTTGAAGCTATCCCACCGGTTTCCGCAGATGTAGGATCCCAGACTCCCGGAGCACCGGTTTCCGCAGATGTAGGATCGCGGAGCTCCGCCAGCGACGGGGCGTTGTGGAAACGTTGGATGTCATCTCGCTTGGGGAGCACACAGCGGCGAAAAAGGTTGGGGCACTTGGAAAAGAGGTCGACCGGTACCCTCTCCCCTAAAAGAAGGCGCATTTTTTGTGGGATTTTTTGTTTTTGTTTTTTTTTTTTTTTGTTTTTTTTTTAGTGGGACAGTCCTTCCCGGTCCACCTGGTGGTGCACGCCCTCCCCAAACGCCGCCACTTAACGTAAAAGTTTCGATGCGTTCGGGACCGTGGGGTCTCTATTTTCTTTCACGGCCTTTCCGCCCCTCCTCCTTTTTCGTTACTTCTACGGTTTTACTTACGGTACGTACTGTGGCCCCTGTGGGATCAGACCCTTACCTGGCCTACCATAGTCGATAAATTAAATGCAAAAGTACTATCACGGTCGATAACATGCAAGTAGACTAAGTATGACACTGCCTACTAGTGCCTAGTAATAGATGGCAGGCTGAATCAGGTTCTACTGAACTGGACACATATACACACACAGTGACTGGCTAGTTGGTGTGATGGGCTAAACCAGTCGCTAGGTACTGTAATTGATGCGTCTACATAACAATTACACTACTGCGTCCCCTTCTTCTTGCCTCATGTCTTAAAGTTTTTCTTTTCGGCGTTTTCCTCATGATGGCTTTTTCTTTTTGGCCTTAACACCATCTGTTTTTTTTTTCCTTACGGATGTCGAGTGCGCTCTCGGACGGTCCGAGTCATCTGCTTTTGGCGATGTATAAAAGTATTACCTTTCTTATCGTGGTAAGATTGTATAGCATTGACAAGCAGCCACTCTGTATGATGCACATACTTGAAGACATCATTGTCTCTGACAGTGGGTAGCATGGTTGTTTGTGCACATAA